TATATATATAGAGAGAGAGAGATAGAAAAGCTTAACCTTCCTCTTGTCTTCCATTCTTGCTTATATCCTTTGGTAATCATTTCATTGTCCCTTGTGACGTGCCCCCTTCCGCCGAAAGCCTGTGCCGTAGCTTACCTTGTTCAGGGTGAGGGGGCTCTGTTCCGACGGGGAGGTATTGTCGTAATAAATGCTGTGATGGGCTGCATTAATGGTAATGTGTTGTGGCAATAACTCTGCAGATCTTTGTCTGCTGATGTGGCCTGTGTTCCACCTGCCATGTGCCCGAATGCCATTGGCCCTCTATGTCCATATGGCCTCCAGCTGTCTTGGGCTTTGCCAACTGGGTTATGCTATGGGTCCCAAGCGATGGGTTTAGGGTGGTTTGCTGCGGGCCGTAAGCCTTGTGGGCCTATCCATGTCATTTACAAATGAAGTCCTTGCTAACATGACCTTTTGGAGATCCACATTGGTCTCAAACTCTGAGCCCATTTAGCATATAACTCTTAAGACTTAATACAGACGAATTTATAATGTTAATGTTGGAAAAAATGATTTTTTTGGTGATTTTAATTTAATATTAAAGTGTGGTGACTTTAATTAAATACTAAAGTGGGTCCCAACCATCTATTGTGTTGGGTTCAAGTGAGTCAATACCTATTGAGACTTGAATAAGAAATTGCCTCATGATATTAGATTCATGAATGAGATTTTAAAGGGTATTTAAATTCTTTTTCTTGACTAAAGGGTGTGAATCCTTTGGGCATCCAAGCTTTTTAACTTTTTGAAAAGGGGCAATGGATGCTAGTTAATGGTGTTTTAATGACCAGCCTCTTCTTCTCTCCCCTATACATGTATAAATTGAGACCCTCCTGTCAAGTCTCAATATAGAAATTTTTGCTTCTATTTTACAAGTCAATTTGCCAGAAAGTTCCTACAATGAGAGAGTGTTGCCACAGTTTTTGTTCGCTAAGCTAGACAGAGAGTTCTTCTGCCGTAACTGGTTTTTGACCGTCATATCCTAAGAGACAGACGTCGAGATTCCTCAAGCACTCGACCCGTGAGGCGGCGAAATATGTTTTAAGGAAACTGTTACCGTGCAGGCTTCGGTTTGATTTCTTTACCTTTTTATTATTTTGTGTATTTTTGTTGAAATTTAGTTGTAATTATCGGCATATGTTCTTGGTATATAATTATGATTTCTTCATAAATCTATTTTTTAATTTCACAATTTGGACAACAGTTAATCCCTATCTGGGAGAAAATGTTAAAGAACTAGTGCGAAATAAAATCCAAATCATTAAAATTAAGCTTTTTAAGAATTTATACAATTCAAATGATGCACTCTTATTTTATTACAAAAGATCAACAAATGTTGTTATATTTTTTTGGATAATCTTCAATGTTCCTCCACTTGATCTAGTAACATTGCAGAGAAGTGGGAAATTGTCATCAAACAAGTGAATGATCAAATTCTATACGAGCATCCGATTAGGTAAGGTATAAAACAAAAAATCAATAACACAAGTGATGCAATGTTGTTTTATTCAAAAAGATCAGCAAATATGATCATATTCTTAAACATGGTCTATAACAACAATATGAGCATGCATGCACTAATGTCCATGTAATCAACCTCAAAATGCAACAATACCAACATGCATGCAAGAAATGATCTTCAATCCATCATTAATGAACCAAATCATGACTTAGCTCTTCAAATTAACATGAATCATGCAAGAATGAACTCAAGAACAGCAACAAGAAGATGGATGTCCTACCTTGGTCTTGTATTCAAGGTCTAGGAGCTCAAAGTAGCAATCACACTTCAATTCTCAAACAATTCCAAGCAAAACCCAAGGTAGAATTCAATTCCTCTCACTCTCCCTCCTCTCTTCCCTCTTGGTCGGCAATGAGAAGGAAAATGGCTGAGGAAATGTTGTTTCTTGGCTCAAGTATGTGTGTGAGATAGTGGCCCACTCAATGGCAAAACGGTAATTAAGTCCAACTCTTCAATTGGCTTATTTTAATCTAATTTAATCACACCTAATCAGTTTTCCGATAATTATACCATAAAATCATATTAATTATGAGGGTCACGGAACATCAATCGGTTTCTAGTTCGGCCGCCGATAAGGCCTTCAATTAGCAGTTTAAACATATAAGCATGAACAGATAATCAGACAATCAAACAGATAGAATGCAATTAACTAACATATACTCAGTCAATTCAGTTTCAATTTCAGTCAGTCGGTTCAGTATTTCATTCAGTTCGATTATCAGTTAGTTATCAGTTATTATCAGTTTCGTTTAACAGTAATCGGTGATTAACGGTAATCAATCAGTCATAAATCAGTAAACAGTACGAGGGTTGTTACACCAATAATGGTTAATTTATTGGTTTTCATTACCTTTCAGTTATGAAAACCAATTACAACCTTTAAAAGGTTATGGTCCTTATTCCTTCCCAAGAGTGAAAGAAAAAACAAGAATACTGTTTTGTTTTCTAAATCCTCTCAAGGAGAAACATAAGGCACATAAGGGAAAGGATTAGAAGGCTCTAACAAAGTCAATATTAAGGTTTTATTGACAATCAGACGCTTCCGTTTAACCGTTCATCAATGGATTTAGGTATGTCATTTTGTCTTGATCTCCTGATAATATACATGGTAAATGATCCAAAGTGTAAGATTTATGTTCTGAAATTTTATGTTTACAATTAGCAGTAAGATAGGAGTAATCACTGATCTCTAGTCTTAATATATGACAAATGAAAAAGAAAGAAAATATTATCAGCTTTTTCCTTCTTATCATAGTACAAATCAATCAAAAAAATCCAAACGATCAGAGTCAGCATCTGAGTATGCTGCTTCATCAATAGCATTACACTTCTAGTAGTTGGGTAGCAGACTTTGAGAGGTTTAAAATCTTGCACACGTACCATAAATGCCATAGTGTTATAGTCGTTGTCAGGGTCAAATTCATGAATGCCAAACCACTTGTTGGAAGCGAACACAGCTCCCCTGAGAAAAGGCAAAAAGCCACCGGAATCAACATGAATCCAAATTGCCATCAACACATCGTACAAGTAAATGCCATACCTTCCATTGCTTAGAATTGAGTATTTTTGTTATTTTTAAACCAACCCATTATGTGGTCTTATTAAATTAAAAAAAAAACTATATATATATTACAAGAAAAGCATTTTCAAGATGCAAAAATATTTTTATAATTATTTCTAACATTTCAAAAATAAAATTATATAAAAATAATATTTATTTTTTATTTCTTTCACTAAATTAATTTTTATTTTCTTAAAAAAAATTCTCAAATAAGTTTGTGAAAACCAGACCAAACATGAAAATCAAACCAATCCAAATATAATTTTACAAGAAAATCACTAAAAACAAAAATATTCAAAAACGTATGTGTCCTATGGTGTAAACATCATTTTAAGGGTGCATACTATATGTACCTTCTACCATAAATTGTAAAATTAATTATAAAATATGTATCATCATTATGAATTGACATAATAAAAAATATCGTAACTAACTCATTTTTTTGTAACCTCAACCATAAAATTTTAGATAGTTTGTGATGAAATTACACATTTTATGATTAATTTTACGAAATTTTATACTTCATACATTTTGTGGTAGAATATGTCTAATATGAGAAAAATTATTGGTTAGTTCTGGCACTATGTGACTATATCTCAAGTCAATCACAAACCCTCATATTCCTTTATATTTTTCAATCACTCAATATAAAATCACGAACCCTACCACTTTTCCTAATCATAATACATATGAAGACCTTGTAACACTACCTCGACCAAGTAAGAGCATCCATATCAAGCTCAACAAATTTTAAACTAAATTACAATTTAAAAATCATTTTTCTATTTTGTATAGCTCTCTTTTTAAATACATCATCCATTAGACTCTCTATTCTAACTTTATTTTATTAAAAAATTATTTTGTTATCCATTATTTCAATGATTAGTACTCAAGAAAGTGAAGATAGAAGAGTCAAATCTATCAAAAATAAATAAATAAATTATTGAATAGTCAATGAATAGTGACTCAATAAATTTGTTGAGTTACTGTAATAAATATAAATAATAATTAGTCATAAAATTAATTTGTTGAGATTAATAGAGCAATGTTTTTATAATTTACTAAGTTATATTTAGCCAAAAAACTCATTTGTTGAGACTAATGTAGATGTTCTAATAACTTATCATAGTAGAGGCCTTAAAAGGGTTATATATATAAAGGACAATGATAGAGACCACTAAAAATGATGTTCTAAAACAACTATTAATAATGTAACATCTATTTAAAAAAAATAAAAATAAAAAACAAATGCAACAATATTATGACAGTAGGTGAGGTGAGAGTCACTGCCACGTCATTAGTGGCTACTATGTTCTATACATAAAAGTTTCTTTGTTTTAAGGGCAACGACCTAAACAAAAATGAGTATGAGCTCTAAAAGTTGAGCTCTAAAGAGGCATTAAATTATCTTTTTCCTACTCATGTTTTGTCTTTTACCTCTTTGTCTTTTGTTTTGTTTTTTTTTTTTTTTTAACAACAATGATTCATCCCACTAAAAATACCACCACTAATAGCACTAATGCATTAAAAAAAAAAATACAACTCTAAGACCAAAACATCACATCATTAACAACAGAACCCACTGCCACCTAATTAGTAAGAACACTCATTAATACTCTCAAACATTTTTCTTTTTTAAATGATGGCAAGTCATTAGAGCGACTAGAGCTATCTAGCAAAGCCCACGGCCTAAAATAACCAAAGATAAAAAAGTGACTATGAAAAAGTCACTCTTCTACAATCTCCCATCTCCCATCCAAAAACACAACCAATAGTCGCAAATTTGAAGGTATACAATAATTGCTTTCCTTCCTTCAGCATCTAACTTCGCTCCATTCATCAACTCTGCATCAACATCATCATCGTCAAATCAAGGTATGGAATTCTCAGTCTAAAAACTCCCAATTTCCCTTTTCTCTTCATTCTCTCTCCCCCTCCCCCATGTAACTCCCCCACCACCACCATCTGCGAAACCCTCTTCCGAACTCTGGTTTCCCCCTCTTTCCATTTACTTGTTTGTTCAAGTGGTTCAACTTTTATTTATTTTTATCCTGGTCTGGGTTTGGAAACAGAATGTAATATACTCAAATACATCATCATTAATTTGTACACTGTTTCTGTATGATATGACTCTGTTTGCTCTCTTTTTAATCTCTTGAGAGGCTTGTGGGTTAGACTATACCAAACCAAACTAAGCCTTGTCTCCCCAACTCAAGTGGGCTCGGTTATATGAATCTTTATTCTCCCTGTATTATCAGTTAAATTAGATAGATTCATATGTTTTTTAGTTAGGAGCTTTGTAGAGGTGGAATGACCTTGCTTGGTAAATGTCTGCAAATTAATTTAGTTTCTTTGCGAGAATATGCAATGAAATCATTTTTATTTTTTATTTTTTATCTCACTGTGAATTGCATTTTAAAAGTTTGGGTATCTTCAATTGGAACTGGTTACCTTATGAATTTTTGGGTTGTGTTGTGTTGTGTTGTGTTAGTTGATTATCGAATTCTTTGTATTTTGTGTATATAGCATTTTTTATTTTGAAAATGGGTTATGTTAGTTTGAATGGCTAGATAAAGTAGAGAGTCTTGTTGGAGATACATGAAAAAATGATTAGGCAAAATAGAGAAGGTACTTTTTGTGTACTTAATGCTTAAGATATAATTTCAGGCATGAATTGTTTCCATTTTAATTTCAGTTGTAACCAACCACTTGTCCCATGAATTTCACAAGACCTGTCACTGATTATCAAGTTAGGAAGTTTGTCTAGATGTCCACAATGTCCCCCTAGTGTTAAAATCTGTTCTCCAATTTATTATGTTAGTAATTAGAGCATTTAGACTCAAAATTGATATTTTAGGGATCAAATTGAAGTAAAAAAAAAAAGAAAAAAAAGTGGACCAATGGCTTCAAATTACTTTGGTGGACACATGATAGGACTACAGCATGAAACAGTTGTAACCATACTGCCTCTGGATTGCACTAAATGAATCATACTTCCTTTTCAAATTTCATTTGGTGTAATACTTTTGTAACTGCAAGAATTGAATTTGAAAGTTTATGTTGCTCTCGAACTATAACATGCACTCTAAACATGGCCACTGTTTAGATTTATCTTAATTTTATATAAAAGTTTTAATTTTGGTTAGAATTATTAGCGACCCATTATCTCTTGGAATCCTAAATATAATGCTTCAATAGTTCACTTATTCCTTTTCTTTTCGAAGTTAGGTAACTTAAAATATAATGAGGTAGAAAGTCCTATTCCTGACTGTAGTAAGTTGTTTGTTTTGGTGCAGTTGATCCAATGCTAGCAGCTAAGACTTTATGTAAACTCTCAAGTTTACGGTCTTTCTTGCCCTGTACATTTGATCCAATAGTGCCAAGTTTGGAGGCATTAATTTATAGTACGTTGTTGAGCACTGTTGTTGATATACCTCAGAAGACTATGCCTGCTGCTTTTTTAGGCAAAGTAAATGAAATGGCAACTGGAAATGTCTTGTCTGAACAGGGAAACCATATACCATTCAAAAGTAGGGGGTAAGTAATGAATCTGGAGGTCTTTGTTTAAACTTTTGCAAATGATGCTTGGAACTTTTCCACAAATTCAAAATTTTAATATTTTCAAGTTTTTATTGTTTTCTTCTTTTCATTTTTAGTATCATTAGCATGCGTCTCTGAGATAATTGTGGACATGCCGATTTCCATGGGAGCAATTTATCATTCTTGTTTTGCTATCAACTCTTGTAACCATCAGTTTCTCCATTTTAATTAATTTTTGTGAATGTGCATTATTCCGTATTTAGTAAGTTATCCTTGTATTTCCATGTAGTTCAAGTCTACTGGATGGATGTTTGATTTATCTTTAATTGAGATGCTTTAATTTTTTGCAATAGCATACTTGTAATACAAACATTTCCGTCTCTATAAGTTTTATGGTTGTTGGTCTATCAGAGAACTTTAGAAGATTTAAGCAAGTAACATCCTTAAACTGCATACCCAAAAAGAAAATCCTTAAAATTGTTAATACAAAATGTTTTCCAAGTTCCGAATGGTAGTTTTAATATAAATGTATGTGGAATATTGTCCGTTTCATTTAGCTATAATGTCATTTATGTTACATCATTTAAAAAAAATTTGGATTAATATTCTCCAACCACAAAGTGAGAGAATTAAATTATAATTATTGTGGAGGAAGATGTCTGACTGGATATGTTTTGGTGATATAATGTAGTTGAGAAAAATAGAACATTGGTGATTCTTGTCTAGAATTATCCAACACCCCCCCACCCCCCAATCTTATAAGTATGAAAAATGTTATAATATAGAGAGAGAAGAAATAGGGTGAAAGGTGGATATATTGAAAGAAACATGGTAGAAGACATAATCAAGGAAGCAACTCAGTTTAGAAATTGGTTCCTTTCAAGCAAATTCAATTGGGATTAATTGGAAACATATATGATTTAAGTTTTCTAGCTTATCAGAGTAGTATTATAAGATTATTTAAGCTAGATTTAATTTTTTTTTAATTTTTTTTTTTTATGTTATCTAATGTTTCAGATGTTAAGGGTATTTTGGCGATTTGAAGTTCTGGACATGGACTGCAGGGGTAGCTTATGAAGCTTATTTTGAATTAATTAGGTTTTGGAAATCAAAAGTCTAGTTTCCTAGTTAGTAACTCTAGTCCTAGTTTTTGCAAGGCTTTTGGTCATTCTATGCACTCGCATCCTTCCTCTTTGGCTCCCCAAGCAAGTCTCAAAATGAATGGAGGATTAAGGAGAGGGAAAGCAGTATATTCCAAAATGAATGGAAGGAGATATCACTTGCAGGAAAAAGGCAATGGAAGGAAAACACAAGTTGTTTATCATCAAAGTCTTTGGAGCAAAAAGGCAATGAAATTTCTAGGAACTCCAATATGTTTGATGTTCGTAACTCTTGCACCACTATTATGCCTAGCGAGGAGAATGGCAGTTTAGTTAACAAACCCCAAAATAGCAAGAGAGAAGGTTAGAACAATTCTTCTTGTCAAACCAAACAAATTAAGTTAGAAAACGTGTGGCAAGCAACCAAGTTTGTCAAAGCAAGGGCAAGGAGGGAGTCACAAACCTCCTTACTTTATGTGTTTTGGTTGTATATCTATTATCTCGGGTTGTGAGACATCGGTGTGTTATATTAACTTAGCCTATCGAGCTGTGAGAGGCGTTGTTTTAGTAGGCTAGGCATGTGCTTTCCTCCTATTGGGGGTGGTGCCTTTGGTCATGTCTTGAGCTTCATTGTGTATTCTATATTTTTTGGTACTAAAATGCATACTTAACAAAAAACCAAAAAGAAAAATGGACTGCAATTAGGATATTGAGATGGATGCGAAGAAATAAAAAGAAAAAGAAAGAACGATAAATGAATTTAATCAAAGTTAAGCAGCAGTGATTGAGGATAAGATGAGGAGAAGTTATCTAACTTCAACGTAATGATATTTGTGTGAAGTTGGGAACGTAAAATATCTATTATGTGAGGATTTTGGTTATTTCATAATCTCATTAGAGTATAATCTCTAGTAAACAACAGAAAGAGGGTGAGTTGGGCATCATATCTATGGGCATGCCTTATTTTCCATTGTTCTTTCACTCTTTATTTATATTTTTCTTGTATTCTTTCTCATCTACTGATATTCAAATGTGAAAGTTAAATAGTTATGATCACTATTGCCATTCTTTTTGTTTTTAGTTGATGTTAGCCACTTATTGCATCTTTTATTTGTTATCTTAAATAGTGTAGAAATCATGATTTCTTCTTGTTAGAATATATCATCACCTACCACCTCCACTCAACTCACCTACCACACACACTCACCTACTCCCCAATCCTCTCCTATATAATGAGTACCTCACCATCTGTAATTTACAACATCAATACAACAATCTTGTAATCCATCAATTAATCAATAATACATACATAAATTACATAAATTCTTACATGGTATCAGAGCAAGGTTGAGAAGCTAGTAATTGTGCTTCACCGGCGGGCGGCAGCCTCGCCTTGGCCGCCCGCCGGACCTCTACCCATACCTTCACTCCGCTGCTCTCTCTCAACATTTTCTCTCCCGTCTCCTCGTCTGTCGCCTCCTCCGGACCGATCGTCGGCGTCTCTCTCTGTCTCTCTGTCTCTCTGCTTTCCTCCTCTCTCTGCTCTCCATCGCACCGATTGTCGTCCGTCCACCCCCTACCGGTCTCTCTCACTCCCGGCATGGATCAGCGGCGGTTCCGGCGATGATCTCTCGCTCATACAGCGGTAACCCGTGCATCCAGATCTCGTAGCCCCTTACCTTACCACCAATCACTCTCTACATTTTCCTCGTGTGTGTGTGATGATGATTATACCCACCACCGGCTTGAGATCTCTGTTTACTCTGCCGTCTTCCTAACCTCCATCCAGATCTAGTATGATCGGTTTCTCTTTTCTTTTTTTTCTATCACCCCCACTCGGTTCCCCACTACCCCATACCCACCATATTTTTTTTTTTTTCATATTTCCACCTTTTCACTTTTTGTTTTTATTTTTTTTATTCATCACCCCACTTGGGCATGTCTCATCCGGGTGCTTCTTTTACTTATCCCTATTTTTTTTTATTCCCTTTGTTCCCACCATTTCTCTTCAAACCCACTATTTTCTTGTTTTGCTCCTTTCTCCAAACTCAAGTTGGTTAGTTTCTATCCTCCTTGAGTTTGCGGGGGGCTGTTAGAATATATCATCACCTACCACCTCCACTCAACTCACCTACCACACACACTCACCTACTCCCCAATCCTCTCCTATATAATGAGTACCTCACCATCTGTAATTTACAACATCAATACAACAATCTTGTAATCCATCAATTAATCAATAATACATACATAAATTACATAAATTCTTACACTTCTTTTGCAGTGATGAGAAGTCAAGAGATGCATTTGCATGTGGAAGACAAATACAGAGTCTTCCCCAGAGACATTTCTTAAATCAAGTACCTGGAATGGTTGGAACTCTCCCTGATGCTTTTTGTATGCCAAATCATCATTATAACTCTAATTGTAATGATAATGACACAAGCGAGGGAACAAATAAGGTTTGTGTACAAGCTGTCGATGGCTTCTCTTCTAGTGTAGTTTCATTGTTTACAAGTCATTGCATAGATAAGATTATCTAGCAATTTAATTTTGATATGAATAAAGCTTCAACTTGAGTTGGAACTGCATGATTTAAACTTGAGTGTTTCTAATCCTAGGCTACTGCACAAATTCAAGGCTTGTGATGCAGGGAAAACTTGAAGGAAATAGGTAGTGCACAATGATTGCATTAGGTCATTAACATCATTGTAAGTTGAGAAGAACTGAACAAGGAATTTGGGTGTATTTTTAGAAGGCTATTTTCCTGTCTGAAAGGTTTTCTAAATCTGTAAGTAATGTCCTTGATGCAGAGCGAGTTTAGAGTTAATTGAACGATTTTTCTCGGTCAAAGATGGTCGTGGAACTTTTCATTTCTCTTTCCTCTGTTAATTCTCTTTCTAGTTTTCTGGATGCTTCTTAATAAAATAATCAACATTGATAGTGCTTTTTACCATATTCTAAACCCAAGGTTTGAAAATTCACTGTTTCACAAACCTTGAACCTTCTTCCCTTATTTTGGAAATTTAACTCACCACTTCTGACGGCAATAGTGTCATAGAACTTGACAAGCCAAGGCTGTCTTGCATCAGTTTGTTTTCTCATTTTTTATTTTATTTTAATGCAGAGAGCCATATGATCTAATGTTGTATAAGACTTGCAGTTTCTGAAAACCATACCAAGATATGTGAAGATAGTGGAAGTTGGTCCAAGGGATGGGTTGCAAAATGAGAAGGAGATTGTACCTCCCTCCATAAAGATTGAGTTGATAAAGATGCTTGTTTCTTCTGGGTTGCCTGTTGTTGAGGCCACTAGTTTTGTTTCGCCAAAATGGGTACCACAGGTAAATTGCATTCAGTTGTTTTCAAGAGATTATTACTATGTTTATAGGTAGGTAGGTAGATTTACACCTTTTTCTCTTTCTTCTTCTTCTTCTTCTTTTTTTTGTTTTTGTTTTTGTTTTTGTTGGAGACATCAATTCCTGTTACTCGAACTTGCACCAGTGTGCTGGGAGCAGATAGTACTTGACATTGCTCCTGATCTTGACCTCTAATAGTCACTAATGTCTTACTTTTATAAGTCTTTAACTACTGACAAACAGATTGGTTGTCGTAATAGGATAACTTCGAAAGTGTGTCCAATACATGTTGGTGTGTGTATGAAGGGTATCAAAATCCGACATGTCTAGAACACAAATGCGACACCCTAGTAGGCGTGTCCATGCTTCTGAGCTTGCTTGAGCATGAACCTGTGAAATTTTCACCATTCACATTACAGAAAGCTCAACATCAAAGAGATGACCATGAATGGTATGGGAGGACAACAGTGAGAGGAGGGGCAGTGAAGGTGGTGGACTCGAAGAAATTTCAAGGTATGTGTAGAAAATTCTAGCGGACTAGGTTAAGCACTTAGTATTTTTCGCTTCACCGGCGGGCGGCAAACTTCAGACATATTATAGTTATAGTTAATGCAATCTGTGGGGTTTCTTTTCTAGATTTTAGTGCTTCTTTATCTGTCTTCGATAGGAATATATAGCAGTTTGATAAAAATTGGAGTAAAATACATTCTTTTAAAAGTATCATAATCAAAATTGCAGCTAGCAGATGCAAAGGATGTACTCGAGGCAATTCAGTGTGTTGAGGGAGCTAGGTTTCCTGTTTTAACACCTAATCTTAAAGTAAGTTTCCCTTTGCAGCTGACCATTCTGTTGCACAACAATTTTAACCTGTCTAGAAAGCATATTCAGTGTTTTGTTTCCCTTTCTTCAGGGTTTTGAGGCAGCTGTTGCAGCTGGAGCTAAGGAAGTGGCCATCTTTGCTGCAGCTTCTGAGTCTTTTTCGAAGTCAAACATAAACTGTAGCATTGAAGATAGCCTTGCTCGATATCGTGATGTTGTGCTTGCTGCTAAAAAGCTCTCAATTCCTGTCCGTGGGTATGTCTTGTGATTCCCTCTTAACTTCTCACCTTTTCATGGAAATATATCTGACATTTTCAGTTTACTGTTGTCTTGTCTAGTGAGATTGTTGTATGTGTGTGTGTGAAACATTTAATATTAGGTCATGTGAAGAAACCATAACTTAGATTTGGGCATTGGAATTATAATGAGGTCCCCAATGTTTGATGCTGTATTTTCCAATATTGGATCTATTTGAAAAAGCAAATTCAAAATCGTAAAACCACATTTGATAATTGGCTGAAATGTTATCATATTAACATATAAATCTTTTATCTTAGGTTTGTTGTGTGCTTACTTCCTATGGCCTTCTACTTATCTTTACATTGAGGAGCTTTTATCTTCTATTAATGCTGTGTCATATGTGAAAATGTTATAAAGGATTATTGCCGCCTCCAATCCATTCATGTATGTGCTTATTATGCGTATAATAGCTGTCCTGTGAGTTGCGATATCTTAATCTAGTTCTGCCCATAAAACCAGTTTTCATTCACTAGGCCAATATTGTTAAAATCTGATTGCAGACAGCTATTAAGTGTGTTGCATCTTTTATCTAAGATTTTAGTGTGATAAAACTGGATGTTTAGTTGCTTTTATTTTCCATTTTGCCTTTAATATTCAAATGTTTGAACTTAAAAATATTGGTGTGGTTGTTGGATATTTGTGTTTTTGTTGATTGTTGTCTATTTAGCATTTGGAATGGTAGTTGCTTTTATGACTTTTGGAATTCTTATTAATTTTTTGTAAGTTATTTATTTATTTTAAAATTCTTCCTCTTATTGTTTAGAACTTATGAATTTTTGGTTTTGCCTATGTTGGATCTTGAGTTACATGTCTATGTTAAATTACTTGTCTTTAATCAACAACGTTTCTCAATTTGGTGAAGCCTGCACCTCACTTTGCACCTAGGCCCCAAAAAACCTTGGTGCATCGGCGCACCTCTCACCTTAAACAACTCTACAACTCTCCTTCTCTCTCTCTTAATTTGTGTTTTTGATACTTTGTAGGGTGTTAGCTTGCTATGATTTCCAAAGCTTCGTCAAAATAAGTATATCTGATTTTTTTTTCTTCCAGTTATATTTCTTGTGTTGTTGGGTGCCCAATTGAAGGAGCAATAGCTCCATCAAAAGTAGCATACGTGGCAAAAGAACTTTTTGATATGGGATGCTTTGAAATTTCCCTTGGTGATACGATTGGTGTTGGTACTCCAGGTAACTCTAAGGTGACTTTTATTTTTTTGTTTAATTTCTACAGTTCATAGAATATGAGAAATCAGTAATGACATGCATCTGAAGTATTAGTTTGTTGCTGACAACATAATTTATCATAAGAGAGCCTGTAAAAAATCTGAGGTTTACTTAAGTCTTTCTAATTTCTTCCATGTTCTCATTTGAATTACTATTTCAAAACTTTAATCTGTCATATGCTATGTTTGACTAGTTAGCTGTTGATCGGCCATTCATCTGGTCTGTTTGTGATTTCATACAAAAATTATTGCTGAGTTTTAGTCCGGGGGATTGAACCCCTAAACCAAATTGGATTAACTGGTTCAACCAGTTGATCTGTGAACCAGTCACTGAAATTGGTCAATGTTTGGCATGTGGGTAGGGTCATTCTATTTCCACACACCACCTTTTCTCAGTTCACACCATTTTTTTTTTTTTTTTTACGGATATCAAATACCGAACAAAAAAACTCATGGTTTGGATATCAATTACCGAACCAAAGGTATAGACGAACCATGGGTTTTCGTTTGGTAATTGATATTTGAACCCTTTTTTCTTCGGTAGTTGATATCCGATGAAAAGAGGGTGTGAACTGAGAAAAACATGTGTAAATTGATGATCCCGTGGGTGCAACTTTGGATTTGGCCGCCTGATCCATCAACCTTGTCTGGTATGATGTAACAACTTGGGAAAAGTATATTTGAACAAATATTGTGCATGTTTGTTTGCTTTTCTCCCTTGCAAAGGATGATAAGATTAATTATAGAATTGAAATAAAATATGTATATTAACTAAAAACTTGTGTTTAATAAATCCTTTAGTTAATGCCATTTCCTGAATTGTACATATTGTTTTTTTTCCCTCTCACTTATTTCTATTTATTTACCGCTCTTTCTTTTTGCCTAGGTACTGTTATTCCAATGCTTGAAGCTGTTATTGATGTTGTACCTTTGGAGAAGCTTGCTGTTCATTTCCATGACACTTACGGACAAGCTCTTTCAAATATTCTTGCATCACTCCAAGTAAGCCATCTTTCATGTTAATCCACAGAAACCCAAACCTGTTATGACAGATCAATCACGCTTTATATTTCAGGTGATCAAGACTGAAGTTAAACCATCTATTGTGCTTGTATGCACACACTGGTTTTAAAAGTAATTCAGGCCCACCTTTCACATATTTCCGGTGATCAAGACTGAAGTTAAACCATCTATTGTGCTTGTATGCACACACTGGTTTTAAAAGTAATTCAGGCCCACCTTTCAACAAGTTTACTATAGGTTTCTCTGGCCAGACATCAATTTACTCTAGTTTCCGTATGTTTTATTTAAAATTAAAATAAATTGTTTGGATGAACTGATTTTTTGAGCTTTTAGATGTATTGTGCTGCAAAATGGATTACAATTGAATGAATTATTCTTAGCTAAGTTTTGACATTTTGTTCCTTGACAGTAGTCAAGAGTCGAGACAGATAGACTTTGAAGTAAATAGTGGAAAAAGTAATTGAAATACATCCTAATAGATAAGTAATAGTCATTAATTGGCTACCTTTGCTAGTTTCCAGTCCTGAAATTGGAGTCTTCAGTTGAAGGAAAAAGGTGAAAATATTTTCATTTTTTCGGTTGGTCATATATTAAGAATAGAGATCAGTGGTTTCCTCTATCCTACTGCTAATCTAATCCATTCATGACATGTATTTAATATTTCATTGATCCTCTTTTAGAACTTGATTGATATCCCCTAGTGGCAGTGTCCCTTTGCTGCAATGATTTTTGCATAATGTGGAGGAATATTGAAATTAATCCAAAAGAATATGATCATATTTGTCGATCTTTTTGAATAAAACAGCATCGCATCATTTGTGGTATTGTTTTTGTTTATACCTAACTTAATCGTGATGTAAGTTATATTTTACTAATTCTTGTATAGAATTTGATCATATTCACCTGTTTGATGTCGGTTTCCCACTTTTCTACATTGTTACTAGCAGCATCCACATCGAAGTTTATCCAAAAAATAAAACCATATTTGTTGATCTTTTGTAAGGGTGCATCATTTGAATTGTATAAATTCTTAATAGAGTTTCATGGTGAATTCATATTTCGTATTAATTCTTTGATGTTGTCTCCCAGATGGGTATTAGCATTGTAGATTCATCTGTATCGGGTCTTGGAGGTTGCCCATACGCTAAAGGTGCTTCTGGGAATGTTGCAACTGAGGACGTTGTTTATATGCTAAATGGGCTCAGAGTTGAGACCAATGTGGATCTCCGAAAGGTCATGTTGGCTGGGGATTTCATCTGTAAACATTTGGGCCGGTCCTCTGGTTCAAAGACCACAATTGCATTGAGCCGAACCACAGCTCATGCTTCCAAGTTATAAGCTACGTGGGACCAATGCACCTTGCTAAAGACATGCTTGCACACCAAGTTCTCAGTTTTTGAAATTGCCTCAAGCTATGTTTGAATCAACAATTTGAGGAGGGAAAGTAAAGGGGATATTCAGAATTGCCTTCAATGTCCCTCTATAGATGTATCGGTTTCCATTGTTGTGTCACAGAAGCATTAAAAAAAAGTAATGATAAATAATCTCTCAGTCCTTTGTCCTCACATTTGAACTTTGTTCAGTTTCTATTTTGTGATGATTCCCTTTCATGGCATTTATGTACCTGAAGTGAAAAAAAAATTTCAAAAAAAAATGAAAGAAGGGAAAAAAAAAAAAAAAAATCTATTGCATAGAACATTAAATTTTCTAAATATTTGTATGTGCACGAATTTTTGTACACGTAGCGCTACTCTTTCAAGTAAGGGGGTGGTTAATGACTAGTTGGTGCTCTTCTTCTAGGTGATCTTACCGCCTGCGGCAGTGGTGGCGGCCCCTCCTCTTCTTGTTGTCGGTGTGCCGTCACACTACCTTTTGGGGAGGCCATACTGTATACTTCAAAATTTTTTTTTTTTAATTTTATTTAGGAGAAATTATTTATAAAAAAAATAAAATAAAATCAGAGTTTGACCAGTGTAATAAAATAAACTTGAGTTTTTAATCTTGCCAATTGAAATTTTAAACTTTACTTATTTTTGTTAAGTAAAAATGACTGAAAAATAATATTTAAGTTATTAAATTCAATGAATTTTCAATACATTTACATTAAGTCTAATAATTTAAATATTCTTTTATCATTGATTTTACTTAACAAAAATATACTATAATAATTTAGATTGACAAAAATTAAAAAAAAAAATTTATTATAAGAGTCAATTTTGAATTTTTTTTTTTTGGTGTAATTTTTTTTCTTTCGTTTATTTTTTTTTTTCATGGAGTAATTTTTAGCCCGTTGTATAATATGGTTACATGTGCACATTTAGACGCACATGTACGCATTGGTACATGCTTTTCAGATATAGTAACTTTTTAATGTTTAGCTTTATTTATTTTTATTATTTTAACTTTACTTAAAAAAGTTAACTTTAAGATATATTTTAATTTTTTTTATAGTTGATTTGTTGGTTGTGAGAGAAAAAATAAAATAATTATAATTTAAATGTGATATTTTATCTTTTTGATTAAATTAACCTATTCGGTTTATATTGACTAATTTAGCCAATTTAAATTAATTACATCTGAAAAATTAAAAAATTAAGTAAAATATTAAAAAATTCACCAAAAATGAAAAATATATATAAAAAATCTTAACTTTTTGAAACCAAATATAGTGACATTACCCAATTGAAATAAGCCACAAATCACCTTAAAATGAAAAAAAGTTGGGTCAATACTCTTAAAACAATACAGTTGACACCTAATCAGTTTTCTCCTAACACTGCAAGACAAAACTTGTGGCTGTTATAGTTTAGACTAATAACTATTATATCATTGAATAACTTTTCTGCCTTAGGACACCTGATGATAATGCACCCAATGACTACGCATGTGGGTGGAGGCAGCAAAAACGTACCAATACCTAAGAGCATCTCCAACGGTGTATTTTTTTTTCATTAAATTTGAATAAAAAATGACCCATTTCACCAAATCTGATATCACTCGCTCCAACGGTGCATCAAATGTCGTGGGGCGACCGGTTGGTCAACCGGTGGGTCGACCGGTGGGTCGACCTGCATGCGTAAAATGCTATTATTTTTGTTTTACCCTTTTGAACGGTTTGAACCCAGCTTTCTGAACTAGGGAAAGGGGGCGACCGGTTGGTCGACTGGCCGGTCGACCAGTCAGCCTATTTTTTTTTTTTTCTTTCTTTTTTGTTTCCCTCCATTTCTGTTCAAAATTATTTTTCCTATTTCTTTTTCCCTCTATTATACATATGTCTAGCATATGGATTATGCTCTCATATAAACCTATTATCCGTATGCCAAACAAATACGATCATACCTTAAACAAAACAGAGCACAATGAATACCTTGAAATCCATGATATTTACTTCATTTTCATCCTCTTCTTCTTCCTCTTCCTCTGATGATGAGTCTGATGATGAATATATTGTCACACTTTTAGGAGCTTATGAGCAGAATAATACTAGTATGCTTCAGATTCTTAAGTCAAGTGATAGGTCAAAGAAGATAGGTGGTTCTGTTGTAGGTCATAGATATATACACAGAGATAGAAGGCAGGGTCATGACAGATTGTTTGCAGATTATTTTGCTGCAAATCCAGTGTATTCACCTACAATATTTCAGAGACGTTTTCGAATGCGTTGTCCTTTGTATCTACGAATTTTGAATGCAATCCAAGCACACAATTCATATTTTGTTCAAAAACAAGATGCAACTTATGTACTTGGATTATCTCCCCTACAAAAAATGACTTCAGCGATGAGAATATTGTCATATGGTGTCGCAGCAGATGCAATTGATGATTACATACGTATTGGGGAAAGCACTACAATTCAAGGTTTGCAACAATTTTGTAATTCAGTGATTGAAATTTTTGGAGAAGAATATCTGAGATCTCCGACACCAACTGACATTGCTAGATTACTTGCTATTGGGGAGGTTCGGGGGTTTCCTGGCATGTTGGGAAGTTTAGATTGCATGCATTGGGAGTGGAAAAATTGTCCAAAGGCATGGCAAGGTCAATATGTAGGCCATCAAAAAAAGCCAACCATTATTCTTGAAGCAGTAACATCTTATGACTTATGGATTTGGCATGCATTTTTTGAAATGTCTGGCTCACATAATGACTTGAATGTGCTGGACCGATCGCCTTTATTTTCTGATCTTGCGCAAGGTAAAGCTCCCCATGTCCATTACATGATTAATGGACATAGTTATGATATGGGTTATTACCTTGCTGATGGTATATACCCTCAGTGGGCAACATTGGTTCAAACTATTTCTTCTCCCCAAGGAGCAAAGAGACAACATTTTGCAATGATGCAAGAGTCTGCCAGGAAAGATGTAGAGCGGGCATTCGGAGTCCTTCAATCTCGATTCGCAATTATAAGTGGTGCTGTACGTTATTGGGATTCGAAAATGCTTGCCAACATAATAAAGACTTGCATTATATTACATAATATGATTGTCGAAGATGAGAGGGAGGAGCACCTTGATTTCAATTATGATATTTTATCAACCAACACACCAGTGCAACTTTCTGATACTCCTACCAATGACTTCCAATCATTTTTGTCTCGTCATTTAGGTATTAGAGATAAGGATGCATATCACGCCCTCCGTAATGATTTAGTAGAACATATGTGGCATCTTCATGGTGAACACTAAATTCACCACATCAATACATGTAATTTTGTTTATAGTTTTGGAATGGAAGGTTCTCTTGTTTGTAATCTTCAATATGAGGCACTATATTGAAGTTTTGGAATGGAAGGTTCTCTTGTTTGTAATCTTCAATATGAGGCACTATATTAACTAAGTAATTCAGAAGTTATGTGATGATGTGTTGTTGTAATGATTCTATCTTTAATATTCAGAATGGTGAAGTGTTCAGTTCATGACAATTACAAATTATAATATACATAACTTAATCAGTTCCAAATGATAATAATGTCTTTAATTAGTATTCTTAATGTCTTCAATTATACATAACTGATGTTCATGATGTTCATGTGCATAATCATAATGTCTTCAATTACTGATATTGAAGTGCATAATCATAATTTAATAATAATGTTTTCAATTAGTATTCTTAATTCAAGGTCAACTCTTAAATTACTGTATATGAAATTACTTTCATTTCCTCACCACTTACCTCAAGAATGGAGCCTCTATATCAGCTGAAAATTGTATACAAAGGGACAAGAGATTCAAAATATATTATATTTTATAACAACACAAAATTTAAGAATAAGTCATTTACAAATTTAACATTATTTTGCATTACTCAAGTCAAAATGAAATTATTCATCTGCACAAGCAAACATACCTAAGGTTGCTGGTTAATTGCCAAAATAGTCTTCACATGATTGATTAATTGCCAAAATAATTGATTAATTGCCAAAATAGTGTTCACATGATTTCAGACAGCAACATGAAGGCAGAGGCTCCAGAAAATAGATGCCCCTTTCTCTGTTCTTGTATCCTTCTTCAATGTTGGCACTTGGCATCATTGTTACATCAGAATGCAATTGTGGAAAAAAGGTTTTTGGTTATGCTTAAATAATTTAAGTTTGCGTTACCCTTCATGTTAATACTAACCATGCTGAGCACTACCATGTTGAGCAGTAGCTAGCCTAAAACAACATGAACCAAGGGAAAATCTTTAAGTTTTCCTTTTCTCTCTTCTTCTTCTTGTTTTATTTATTTATTTAATTTTTTTGAGTGTGTGTGGTTGGGGGGAAGGGGTGGTCCGAACATAGTTATAAATCTTCAATTATTGAATGCACACACTGCATTCCACATACAAATCATAAAAGCTTCAATTATTTATCCACACACTGCATACATTTGCCTTAGCTACCATTCATTTGACATATATCACCTACCATTCATTGCATGCATTCCATCTACCTTGCCTCATTTGAACCAACTACCATTCCTCACCACCTACCTGAAGCATGGAGCCTCTATATCAACTCAAAATTGTATACAAACCTGCCATTAAAAAATTAACAACTTTCACTGAATACCTCTGCCCACAGATTGCTTGTCTCCTCACAGATTGCCTCTAAGAACACATTCACTGTATTCCCTCCACCACTACCTTCAAATTCGGCTAAACCGAAATCTAATCCCAACCTCTGCATATTGAGTGTAGTCTAAGTGTGAATCCCAAACTCTGCATATTCAGGAGCAAGAAGGCAGCATCCAAGAGGTACAAGAAGGCATCATCCAAGAGGTGGTATTCTGTTAGGTGAATGGCACGGGTCAACCGGTTAGTCAACCGGCCCTGTGTTTTTTAATTTTTTTTTTTGCCTTTCAGGGTGTATGCTGTATTTTTCAAGTGTGTATGCTGTATTTTTTCAATTTTATGTTTTATTTGTTCAACTTTAACTTTGTGAAGAGCATGAAATTTATGTTTTAATCCAATTTTATGTTCAATATTTTAGAAATTATCATGTTCAAGATTTTAAAAATAAACTTGTTAAAAATTTACTTCTGATGTACTGCCATATGATCATTTTTAGGATCATTCATACAGAATAGAGAATATGTTCACTACCATTCATTGAATATGAAAATAAACT